GTTATTTAAAAAGTTTTGAAAGGAGGAAGGAGAAAAAATATCAATCGATACCACTTGAAGAGAAAGATGGATGATATATCCGAACGCGTAGTAAGATAAATATGAACAATTTATATATTGCGCGCGCGCATCTCACAATATATTTTTTTTCAATCTTCTGTGTGTTTTTCAAGAATTCCTACATATAAATAAATTAAAAACTTTCTATTGCAATGTCTAATTGCTTAAATATGCTCCAGTGTTTAAATGCCTCCCAATCTCCCTGTAATTGCCGAATAATATAAGCAATAATATCTCAAAGCGCAACGAAATTGAAAATAAACAAGTGCGGACTTCTCTAACAAGGTTCATGCTGGGAGTCACGGATGCTACTGTGAATGGCACCCTTTGCGAGGCAGTCTCTCGTGCATTCGCACACACCTGTGTACACTTCTCTGCGTAGATGGAAGATCATGTGTGGCGTATAATCGGTAGATACAGCCGCGCTTAATTGCGAGGCAGAGGTACGGTGCCCGGTTATTTCAGTCTAGACTGACATGACAGCCGAGGAAGTCCAAGCCCCGTGTGTGCAGCAGCATCGCAGTAATGCTCAACCGTTCACACGTGTCGCATTGCACATATCATTTTCTTGGCTGTACTAATTTCGTCACGCTTGGAAACGTCACTTCCTTTTTCCGTCGCAGAAAGAGAGAAAGAGAGAGAGAGAGAGAGCCAATTTTCACTCTCCCTCTCTCTTTTTCTCGCTCCGCATTTTTTATCTCTATATCATATGGGATAACTTCATATTTGTTTGAAAAATTAATAATGATAATACACATGATATATGTGGTAAATATTGCATTCATATAATTATGCAGGCAATCGTTATATGTGTGTGTCCTATCAACATAGCAATATTATCAAATATAATAATCATGTTTAATCAATTTCTTATACAACCGTTCTACTTAATAACATGATCAAGATAATAATTATTTTTAAGTTTTCGCGCATATTTTATGTAAATTTCTATAATATTCCTATCATTAACAAACAACTGTCATTATATATTATAAAAACCACAATACACAACTGAATTCCTAAGAAAAATATATCTACAAGCAAAATAACGAATGCGATTTCTGCTGATTTCTATTCGTAAATTAAAGAAAAAGTATATATAAATATATAATTTAAAAAAAAAAAATCTCATGGCTTTGAAAAAACGCTTTTAATTATGAAAAAGAATTTATTGGACTAAATAATAAAAGATAACAGTGAATCATAAAATTACCAAGCTCAAAGTTAATAATCACAAAATTTGGGAACCTCTATCATATGGATACATCGTTCACTAACACATGTATACGCATGTACGATCTATCACATATCTTTACGCGCGTGATGTGTAGATACACGATCGTCTCCCCGTGTGCGGACGCACATACGAGATCTCCGTTAATACATCGAATACCCAACGGCCGTACAAGAGAATAGCGTAGTATAAAGCATAAACTACAATTAGTGGTAATCCGCGTGACACGGGCATGGCACCCTTTGCGCATATTAGAGCATTAGCTGCCGACGAACTCATACGAACGAACCGTACATCATTTCGGGACGTGCCCACGTCTACCGACAAAATCGTTAAATTTACGAAGAAACACGACTGACTCGATACATAGCGACTGAATATAACTCGCTCAGCATGCGATCACGATGCCCGTACGCACAATTGTACGCATGTATCGTTATTGTTACGGATAGCAAGACTTCTGTATGATATTATAAAACTATAGTCGATAAAATTTGAGGGAAAAAAGCAGTAATCAACTTAAATACTAAATAAAAGTTTTATTTTCTAACAAATTTTATTTGATTAAAAGTGAGTCATTGAACAAGACTATTCTTGTTTGCATTTTTGCGATTATTTATTGCTTCTAAATTGCGAAAGCTTGTTGCATCAATTATAGTGATAAGATAGAACTAAACTAATATGTAGTTGGTTAATGTGATTTTCGCCATCATCGAGATGTTGATGGTGTAGCATATGGATAAAGGCTCTAAATCCTATCATTTATCTCTATAGTTAAGGTACGGGGATTGAAGCACTGCAATTTTATGGTTTTGCGGAAATAGATATGAACTTCAGTCAAGAACCAAGTGAGGTAAAACGCGATCGTAAAAAAGGGTATTGGACTATTCTGGAAAGATGCATCGTCTGCAGAGCCTGCTTTAAGAGAATGCAAAATTCTTGAAATTTATGTTTTTTATCTATGATTTGTGACGTAAAAAGCAGATTACTTAAAAATTACGCTAATTGTTGGTATCAGGTTCTAATTAATACGAAGTCGATTTATGCAATACACCAACCATGTTTACACAATATTTACATTATTTAATTACATGTAATTATACTTTATATATCTCTATAAATATTGAAGTTTCCACAAAATAAAATCATGTAAGTATAAAGTATAAAGTAAAATTTTTACGATTCATATAATTCTTTTATACAAGAAGAAATTTATATATATAAGTAATATGCAAATATATTATCAAAGTAAATTATGGAATTAATTATTTTCTTTTTTTATTCTGTTGGATTATTTCCGTTTGTCGACTTTATGTCCGCTTATAATTCAACGATTCATGCAATTTTATGCATTTCCCGACGTAAAAATTGTTTATGCGGAAATAGCATTGGGAAATTACAACCGTGATTCAAATCATATGTTTTTTATATGAAACATCTACCAAGAAAAGTTTAAAATGATCGATTTTACCCTGAACTGAATTTTGTAGCTAGGATAATGTTTGATTTTACAAACTGGATTCAGAAACTGTACGTTCATGCTAGATAACCTGTTCCGTATCAACAGTCAGTTCCAGTTACTTTGTAGTAATTTGCCTAACAGATAGCTATGGCACAACTTTTACTAGAGAATACAAATCAAGCGACCTGCATGAGTACCCATAGTTGGAAGTTTAAACTTAGGTGACTAGACACACTGGTTTGCGACGACATATCTTTCTCTTTTTGTGATGTCAAAATTTAAATAAATTTCACATATTATAATTCTGATTTTATATATTCATAATCCACAATTATAAATTTTGATGTAACTTATTCTGCTTACTATATTTTTGTTTTCAAAATTCAAATTTTATAGCATTAAAGCACTATTAATAATGTCTACGTTATTCAATTTTATCATAATTTATTGAAAATATTGATTTGTGCAATATTACGTAGTAATTAATAAATAAGTATCCTAGAAATAAATGTGTTTCATCGATAAAACATAACATAAAAGCATTTTATTCATCTCATTTCGCGCGGAACATACATTAATCATAGCGCTGCTTACAATGTTATGAAGTAATTTATAATTGCCTGAATTAAAAAATGTATGTTGAAAACTCATATAAAACTGACCCTCGACATATTATATCGACATATATTCGCAATATGTGCTGCAATTAAAACATTTATTATTTAAAAATACAAGAGATAAAAATTAAAACAATTATTAACACACAAAAACTTCTCTTATTGTGAAACATATATATATAAGATGTGTGTATAAGAATATATTACGAGTACATATGTCGATAGTCAATTTTATATAAGTTTTCAACATATAAAGACATTTTTAATTTACTCACACATATTCACAGGCAATTATAAATTACTTTATAAAAGATCTATAAGACAGCAACACTATGATTAATGTATGTCCGGCGTAAAAAAAAAAAAAAAGAATAAATAACATACTTTCATGATGTTTTATCGATGAATATAAAACATTTATTTCTAGGGGATACCTATTTATTAACTATTGCGCGATATCAATCGTTATATGCTTGTTTTATCAATGATAATCATCACAATTATCTCTCAGTGTATCTCGCTGACAATAGAAATAAACGATAAAATTCTATGGCACTCCGTACGTGCCAATTAAGTCTAATTGATGCCTAACCCGAACAAAGGAAATGCGATGCGGAATTCCAATTCCTTCATTTCAATCAACAGAAAAGTTTAGAGCAACAGCCTCAGAACAGAGCAAACGTGGTTCGCAGAATTGGCCTCATCGGTCACTAGAGAAGCGTGGAACAGCGTAGTTCCCTCTGCCATTCTCATTTGCGGTTGTCGGTCCACTGCCATTCCACCGCCCTCGCAACCGCTTTCGTCCTTTACACCTTCGTATATTTCGTTCTAGCAACATCACGTTACGTTGTAAGTCTTCTCTGAACGGCCGTAAGATGCATAGTGATTGATTGTTTGGTGCTTTGGTAGCATACCGAAACTATTGAAAGCGGTCGGAACGAGCGTTGGAATCCAGTAATTCTCGACTCTCACGCAATGTTCTGATTAGACCATGTTATTATAATAGATGATGTAATTATATCAAAAAATTTCACGGTTTGTGTCCAAAATCTTAACTTTCAGATACAAATAAATATTCTTCCAATGAATAAATCATTATAATTATATAAAAAAATTCAACGTTTGTATCCAACATTTTAGATTGCAGTTTAATCAATTTGACATTATCAAATGTCTCTTACTTTTCAATTAGTATACATATAGCATAAATATTCTTCCAAATGAATAAATTGTTATAATTATATAAAAAATTGTATTAAAAAATTTCAGTGTTTATGCCCAACAGATTTCTAGATTTTAGATCAATCAATTCGATATTATCAAATGTCTCTTACTTTCAATTATAATATATATATAACGTAAATATATCCTTTCCCAAATAAATAAATTGTTATTTACAAATGCTCAGATATATTACTGATGATAATATCTCATTTGTTGTTCAAAAATTCAACATACTTAAATCTTTCTATAACAAGTGAGTTATTATCATCAATATTTATTTCAAAAAAATATATATCTAAAAAATGATATTTTTTATACTTTTGTTTGTTGTAATAAAAAATTTGCAATTTATAATGTAATATTTCTCTCTCTAAAATATTAAATATATAAAAGTATCATATATAATATTTCAAATTTTTGTTACACGCATTAATTTTTATAATAATAAACATATTGTGATGGAACGCGCGAAATTTCTCTTTTATTCACGCAATGTACGGACAAAAAAAATAGTGTTCAATGCATTATGGTGCATAGCTTCTCAAACTTGTAAACCAAGTTAAAGGTCAATGTGTGCCAATTATGAGAAGCTACCTAAATCTCCCTTGAGAGCTTTTCTCGCTGCAAAGAGAAACGTGAGCGTAAGTACCATCATTAGCAAAATAGACAAGAAAATGTTGAAAAGTAATTCGCATAATTATATTATTAGTCCATATGAGAATACACGAAGAATCTGAGAGATTGTAAATTTTGATTGATAATAAATTGAATATGATTTATTCTATATCTATATATTTGTCATTGCTTTTTTTTTAAATATATACTCTTTAATGTACATTTTACAAAAAATATGTCTATCAAATTAACTCTTGATAAAATCAATATGATTTAGTAAGAGAAAATAAAACCGTCTTTTTTATGCTTTATAATAACATAAAAGTAAAAATAAATCCATTTTAATTTAGTTATTTCTATGTATTCAAGATATATAATAAGATTGAACTGTAATTATATTTGTAATTATATAACTTTTTACAGCTTTGTAATCGTATCAAAATTGTGCGTGTAACAAAAATAATCAAATACAATTAGCATCAATTGTAGTTTCATGATGCCATAGTAAGCTCATTTTGACTAAAGCTTGGCAATATTTTATGCACATTTTAAGAGAAAAATAAAAGCAATATTGCACTTACCAATCGGAGCCTCAATGTTATGACGCTTTCAGCAAAGCAAATTATCAAATCTTGTATTACCTGGGGCCCATTTGCTGGTTCCAAAAACGAAAATTAATGCTGTTGCTGCTCAGCGGCAATGTTGGATCAGTCCATTTTTTCCCGCGTATGCAACAAGCGAGGCGTCAGTCCACTATCTAATTGAAATAAAGGAAAACACATTTATTTTCTGTTTATTCTATTTTTCAAAGTTATTTTATATGTTATATAAATGTAAAATACGAAATAATATTAGTATTAATTTATCTACTTACTTTAATTACTTTATTATATCGTCTTCTTTATCCGCTGCGAACCCAGACCGCCAAAATGTTCGTTGCACATACGTAAGCTGTGAATACAGCTTGTATTCTTTGCCGCGCATGCGCAAAAAGATAGTCCACATCAGAATATCAATGGTCGTGCGATTATTGGCTTTACTGAACGAGACCAATTTCAAGCCGTGCATACGTCATACGTAGTACGTAGAGAAGTGGTATTTATAACCTTAACAGAGAGAGAAAGAGAGGTTATATTGTGATAATATAAATCATCTTTATATAAAATTGTAGATTATTTGCATTCGGTGAATGAAGTAAAATTAGAGAAATGTCGTATTTAACGAGAAAGGAAGTAGATGAAATAAAACCACAGATCGAGAAAGCGGTTCATAAATTTCTTGGCTTCAGTGAACCAGCAATTGTTACTACTGCTATCAACTGTATCACTTCTGGCTATGATAAACGTAAAACAGCAGGTTAGTAGTAGAGAATAAAATATCAATCTACATTCTTTACAATTTTTAACATTAGCACTTAAAACAAATAATATATGTATTGTTATATTAAATATATATAATTTTGTGTTTTTTTTAAATTCTATAGATAAATTATCAGCCTTGTTAGAAGACAAAAAAGCTTCTAAATTAACAGAAAAAATATTTACAATTTATGATGATACTAAAGCAGCTCAGAAGAACAAGAAGCGGCCGCATTCGGAAGATAAAGATAAAGACAAAGATGTGAAGAAATCAAGATTTAAAGATGATGAAGCAAAAAATGAGAAAACTGTAGAAACTCAGCTTTCTGCAGATAAGGTATTAATTTTACTTGTTAAAATATTTTAAATGCTAATCTTACAATTTTATTTTCTATATATATTTATATATATTTTTAGATAAGGCAAATGATGGCTAATGCGCAAAGAGAAATAGAAGAAAGAAAAAGAGCTTTAAAGGCAATAAAGCAGGAAGATGTTGCTGCAAAGCCATTATTTAAAGGACGAGATACATTACCCACAGTAGGAAGCATGTACAATCAAGGCCTATTGAGTAAAACAGATTCAGATAAAGCACGAAAAATAGCTGCATTGCAAGCACAAATCAGAAATAAATTAAGTTCAGGATTACTTGCTAATATTAATGTACCAGATAAACCAACTCCTTTAATTTTGGATGAATCTGGTAGAACAGTAGACATAACTGGCAAAGAAGTACAACTTACTCAAGTAGTGCCTACTTTAAAAGCTAATATACGTGCAAAGAAAAGAGAAGAATTTAAAGCTCAATTACAAGAATCGAAAGGTCCAGAGGAAATACAAGATACTCAATTCTTTGATGGTAGAATAGGAGTAAAGCCAGCGATGCGTGGTAAACGTGCATTGAAGTTTCATGAGCCAGGGAAATTTCAGCAATTGGCAGAGAGAATACGCATGAAGACACAATTAGAGAAATTGCAAAATGAAATCAGTCAAATCGCTAGAAAAACGGGGATTAGTTCAGCAACTAAATTAGCTCTAATTGCACCTAAAACTGAAGCTCTCTCTGAAGATGTGCCTAACGTAGAATGGTGGGATTCTGTTATATTAACTAGTGGATATCCTAATGAGAACGAGCCCACGACAATCAAAACTTCGGCTATTACAAATTTAGTTGAGCATCCAGCACAAATGCGACCTCCAAGTACATATATGTTTATTTTACTTTTACTTTATTGATATATTTTTTATACTATATAATTAAAATTATTTTTGTTATATCTTACAGCGGATCCTTTGAAACCAATATATATGCCTGTATTTCTTACAAAAAAGGAACGTAAGAAATTAAGAAGGCAAAACAGGCGAGAGACATGGAAGGAAGAGCAGGAAAAGATTCGATTGGGTCTAGAACCACCACCGGAGCCAAAGTTGCGGATCTCTAATCTCATGCGAGTTTTAGGAACCGAAGCTGTACAGGATCCTACAAAAATAGAAGCTCATGTTCGCCAACAGATGGCTAAGAGATTAAAGGCCCATGAGGATGCGAATGCAGCACGCAGACTCACTGCTGATCAACGTCGCGAAAAAAAGGCGAGAAAACTTAAAGAAGATACTAGCCTTGGCGTACATGTTGCTGTATACAGGTAAATATGTTTATAATCTTATTGTGTGTATGTGTGTGTGTATATATATATATATATATATAAATTTATGTAACATAAGATAAACATATCTTTACAGAATACGCGATCTTATCAATAATGCCTCAAAGAAATTCAAAGTGGAGACTAATGCGAAACAGCTCTATCTTACTGGTTGCGTAATGTTGTTCCGAGACTGTAATGTTGTTGTAGTGGAAGGTGGAACAAAACAACAAGCTAAGTATAAACGACTGATGATGCATCGTATTAAGTGGGAAGAGGATATAGTGAAAGATAATGATGGTAATGATGTACCGAACAGATGTGTTCTTGTTTGGGAGGGTACAAGTAAGCAGCGACATTTCGGAGAAATTAAGTTTAAAGTGTGCCCAATTGAAAAAATGGCTCGAGAGCACTTTAAAAAGCATCAAGTGGAGCATTATTGGGATTTAGCTTACAGTGGGGCAGTTCTTGATAATACAGATGAAGTACGCTCTTAAAATATATTGTAAATTAAATTACTCTTGTAAATTAATTAATACATGAGCAAAGCTAATATGCAGATTAAATAATAAATAAGTTCTGTACTTAATAAAATTATTAAGTTCTGAACTATATAATTAAAATTATGATAAAAAATAAAAGATGTAATCATGACAAATTGAACATAAATAAAAGTTCACTGCTTCTGGAGATCTATTTCTATTTGCAGTAATTCAGTATAATCTAATTTCTATACCGTAATGATGAAATAAAGCGATCTTAGGAACTACTTTTATATTACTATATTTTGTCTTTTATCTTACTATATTTTGCTGTCAAATTATACTATTATATGCGAGTATGCTTATTTTCTTATTTATTTTTAATTTCTGTATAAATAAACCTTGAAATAAATTTTACTAGAAGCAAATAATCGTTTCGCTTTATTCTACACGCGACGTACTCTCACGATTTATTATTGATGATGATCTTGTTGACACAGGGAATAGAGACAAAGTAATGTGGAGAAGTAGGAGTAGGTGGAGAATCGTTTGCGATTATATATTTGAATGAATCACAAACATCTTAAGGAATTCTAATCCGCAAATGACATTGTAGTCAAGCCCATCAAGTGCATTAATTAATAGGTGCTGCGATGCTTATTGTTATAGCATTATGCAAACGAACACGTGCGATCCACGCATACCGCGTTGCAAGCACAAAGGTGCGAATGGAGTGTGTATTAGACCTTGAAACAATATCGCGATTTCCAATAACGTAGCTGTAGGAAAGGCGAATCTTAGCTTCGCTCATAGCATTAATCCGACAGCTGCAGCCGGTGTAATGATGTACTTTTACTAGCTGCATACATATTATACTTTGATACCTCGTGCACCATTGATACCATGCGTTGCTGCGATCCTGGCTGGACCCCACTCCGGAGTAAGCCATACAGGGTACACTCGAGTTTTACTTTCGTTCGAGCATCGCTCTCAGTTCAAGATTACCGCTGTGCGTTCTCGCGCACACCGCTCTCGCGCATGCGACTCTTGTGAAATCTTTCCAGGCAGATGAATGCCATCGCGTATTAACTACGTGAGTGAGATCCGTACATTACGAGGATATCACACGCATTATCTCCAAAAAAATGATTCCTGCTAGAAGCATCGCCACAGGTGGCTTGCTCATCTTTGTATCACGGTGAGTACTTTCAATCGTATTCTAAATCCTAACAAATACAATTAATACTATTTATTTTTTAAATTTGTATTAATTTGATATAAAACGATGAATTATGATTTAATAGTAATATTTAAAATAATGTGTGTGTGTGTGTGTGTGTATGTATGTAACAAAATATAATTAGAAATTATATATATATATATATATATA